TATAAAATGAATGATAGAGAGCAATAATGTCTTTAAACGCAAGAAAAAGACTCGTATATGTCAAAGACATATCTAATTTTATCAAGGTACAGGAGGCTGTACTGGCTACTTGAAGATGGATGTAACCCCCCCCCCCCCCCACTCCTTCTCTTTAATCATATTCGGAGAAAGTAAAGCCTAGCAGTTAAGTTGCTGTTATAAGATTCCTTTAACATTTTGAACACTGCTTTCTTCTATTATACAACTTATGCCCATCTAGTTATGTAGCTGTAACTTACAATGGATCAACACTGAATCTACAACTTATCAGTAGCCTAGCCTTGTCTAGCACGTTTTGTACTGCCATCGTACAAATAGTTAATTTTCACGATCCCTTGGTCCTTACAACTGTCATTCATAAGTTCCGTTGATGTAAAGCCCCAGCAATTGTCACATAGTGTTTTCAAAGACACAGATGACAAAAATTCTAAATTTTGAAAATTATCTACTTTTTCTCGAGGCATATCAACATCAACGGTGCTACATCATCAAATTTACGTCATCAATTTGAATTTTAAATCATTCATGTAGTTTTACAGGGGAAATTTAAAAGTTTTATTAAACGAAAGTCGTATGAGATAAAAAGACCACCTATTATTTTGTGATTTGATATTGGCTTTATCCAACTCGTTGAAATGGTGTATATTCGCTCGGCAAGCCTCGAGAAAATAAACACCATTTCAACTCGTTAGATAAAGCCAATATTAATTCACATAATATAGATATCCTCTATCTATCTATTCATTTACAAAATTGTATACACTAAGGTTAAACTGGATTTAAAGCATCAGAAATTTAATAATTTTTTTTCTTTTATCTTTAAAAAATTATACATGACTTTTAAAACATCCCCAACCCGGTCATTCAATTTCAGCGGGAAAGAATGCCAAGCACATTATAATTGTAGCTTGAATTTTACAATGCAAAAGGTTAATCAATTGGGCGGTCCCTCGAGATCTCAGCGAAATAAATATTCTTTGCAATTTTTAAATGCCTGTTTTTCAGATGATCAGGGGCATTCAGGGCAAATGTTTTATAGCCCAACGCAGTGTGGTTACCCTAGGACTTCCGGTCCAAGGACTGTAATTCAAGCTAATGAACAAGTCAAGTGCGTGATGCAGTGCATAGCTGCATCTGCTACTCTCAATCATATTTATTTTGTAATTCCCAGTTACAGCAATGGAAACACCTGCTAAAGTCATTTTCAGAAATCATTTGTAAAAAGAGAAAGAGAGGAGAATCTATTTCATGCTGCATCGTTTACCACTGACAGATAAAAAACCCCTTAAAATCTCATATTATTGCAAATGATTTTGTTCTATATACATATATTTTCACATATAACATCAGTGTTATCAAATTTAAGAGTCTTTATGCTTAAAATTCAGGGAAAAATTCATGAGTAAGTTTCAATGATAGTAATTCAGATTTTTATACTTAACTATAATTAACTATAGATCACTATAGTAAATTTTGTTAGGGAATGAAATATTAGTACTTTATATCCAGGACACCCTCTAAGCAGAAAATACCCTGTTTCGTCGGAAAACAGTATTGTAACACTATTCTTTGGAATATATTATAACTCCTTGGAAAACACTCTTTAGAATACTCTTTTGACCACACGTTGGACATTTCCTTCGGATGTGACCTTTACTGCCACCTTTGAGTTTTAGTTTTTACGCTCTTCTTAAATATTTGGAACTTATCTTTGTAATTGTTGTATAACAAAGGCAATGGTCTATATTGATGACATTGGCATTTCAGAAACCATCATGTAAACCTATACAATCACGGTTGATTAAAAAACTTTGTTATTGATTTACACATCTTACAATATCAACATAAAGAAATAAGCAGTATGTTATTTTTATCTATAATTGCTTGCACATTTCGGTTCTACAGGTGACAGACATATACCTGAAAACGATTAGAATTGACTAGCATGGGTGTATATAAGGCAGAACTTTGGAGGAATCAGGTATTGAGAGGGTAGCTGGAGAATTTGGATGAATCAGCAATAGAGAAGTTAAATTAATCCATCCTAATAAGAAATATTCACTTAATTTGGGTACATATCAGATGTTTAGGTGTTGAATACTCAGTATATTTAGACATAATTTCTTAATTATTACAATGTTAAGGTGTGTTGTTTTCTAATTTTTTTTTACCTTGAATTTTCGTAAGAGTTATCTATCTTTGATTTTATTTAATAATAAAAAAAATCAGATCTTATACAAAAACTTTAAGTGTCATTCTATTTGTATTTTGTTCGGTCAATTTTTCCACTGCAGCATTTGTTGATATTCTAATTATTTGAATGTAAATTTAGAAAAAAAAATGCTCGGTAGACTTCAATACGATATTTGTTAAGTATTCACTGCTATAGGAACTTCAATTTATGAAATTTTCTCTTTGAAATCCAAATGCTTTAAATCAATATCAGAGTATTATGTCCTTGTTTGTAACATTTAAGGATAAATGATTGAATACCTAAAGGTAGGTGGAATATAAAAATAAAAGTAAAAGTATAAAAGTTATAAACACCAGTGGAATTAGTATTCTGGGGAAAATTACGTTAAAGTTCTAAATGTAATAAATCTGAAAAAGATGGAGGCAACTGGTTCTTATCTATCAATAGAACTTAGGGGGGAAATGCGTTACAAGTGGTATTTTATCCAGTCCTCAACTCTTGATCAGACAAATTTAAGTACTGTGTGATATATCCTCGGACTGAGCTATACATGTTAGGTAAGAAATGTTTGAAACCCTCTTTTTCAAGAACAACTAAGCCATTTTTGTCATATTTATAAAGTAGCAATCTTATGTATGTAGAATCAAGTGTGTTCAAATTATGACCCCCAGGATTGGGGACAAAGCAGAAGGACAAAGCGTTGTATAAGAATACATAGGAATCTCGAAAAAAATATGCTCTGGAACAGCAAAGTCATGATTTGTCATTTAATTTTGGAAACATCTTCAAGAGGTTTAGATTCAAATTTGTTTACATTTACGGTGGGTATGGCTGAACCACAATGGGCGATAGAATTCTACATAGGAATACATGGAAAAAACTTTAAAAAATTTCTGTTTAAGTACAGAAAAGCTATGGTTAGTAATATTGAGAGAAGCATCCTGAGGTTGTGTAAGTTTAAATTACACCCCATCGGATAAAAGATGGACTGATTTCTGTTTGGCAATTTTACCAATTACTGTAGAAGCAAATATGAATTAAAATATTCATTGATATTAATAAACCTTAGTCCTTACTAAAAAAAATAAATTAAAAAGAAATTGGTCAATCTAACAAACCAAAAAATTAAAAAAAGTAAGAAAATTGAAACTTTGATTGACCATGGAAATTTACTCTAGAAGTTGTTTCCAGGATTGGGGTCTATATATGTCTAATCTTCTTTTTCTTCGATGTAAAGACAACAATATGTGAATATACAAATAATATTTCACCTTAATATAAAAAATCCTGTTTGAGAAAGTAAATTACAACAATCTAAATTGTTTGCACATAGATTTATTTTCATAAGAACAGCTTTTTCCTGAGGAAAAAAAAACTTTGATACTTTAATGATCTATAGCTTACTGTGTCGAACTATGGTTTAAAAAGTTTTTTGTTGTCAGAAGACTAGAATAAAAATTAGAAATACCTTGGAAAAACATTTCTAGTGTAACTCATTACTTGCGGATTCGAATCCCACTGCTGAAGGTGGAGACCAGCTTTTCAGAGGTTCCATGTAGCAGTAGGTACTGGCACAAAAAATGCCTCACTGCTCAAAGTCAAATGTGTCGAGTACAGGTCTTTATTTTCTTAGGTTGAGTTTGAATTGAAACTTCTCGAAAGGGCGTTAATCAGACACATAAATATAGAGTTAACGCATTACTTTAAGCATTTCATTTTTAAATTTTAACACATTTACAAATTTGGGGGTTAGAAAGTTCTTCCACTGTTATATACAAACAAATGCTTAAATTAGTCAGAATTAAATACAAATTAAAACTTTTGAGTAACAATTACTTTATTACATTTTTACATTACGTTGCACACGATTCATAGAAGCATTAAACATAATTGTTGTGGACAAAACTTAATTGAATAGGAATTGTCATTATAATTGTAAAATATCATATGAAATAGCACAAACATTAGCAAAATGCCACTTCGCTGTCGCTAAATGGGGGAAAATACATTCTAAGTTAAATAAATGTAACAATGTCTTTGTTTTATTTTTACATACTTATGATTAAAAGCACACTTTCATCCATATAAAAGAATAAAAGGAAATAAAGCAAACGTAAAGTATTAAAAATCTAAGAAAAAAATGCAAATTCAAAATGCAAAAATATTCTTATTCATTGCATACAGTTAAAGAAATACCTTTTATCTCTGTGCAACTAAGAGATTCAAAGAACAACTGACATATACATTTAGCCATATTGTAGTTTTCCTTGTTTATTTTTTACAGGTTGACACATCTTTCTCTCTCTCTCTCTCTCTCTCTCTCTCTCTCTCTCTCTCTCTCATATTAAGCATTATTATTACCTCAAAAGGTCGATTTAAGAAATTCTTTTTCGCTAAATATGTCAATTTAATATATAAGGACTGTTCTATAAATAATGTCCTTAGCTCTATGACATACAAAATAGAGATCCTGACATCAGCTATTGGATAAAAAGATTTAAGACACAAGTTTTAATTGAAGGAGAATTTTTAAGTAAAATCATTAAGACTAGATCATTGAAAAGCCTATTTTGTTTCTTTCCGAGCACCGAGGACATTATTTATTGAACAGCCCTCGTATGTTTATCTTACTAACGTGTGTTATTTATATCTAAGCCTTTCTTTACTAAGAAATTGAGCAGTTCAACGTTTCCACCCTTTTTTGCGGCATGAAGGGCATGGTGACCATCAAGGTTGGTCATACGAAGTAAATAAGGGAAATTATTTATCAAATACCACACATGTCTATCTTTCCATGGAAACAGCAGAGGTGTAAAACAGTATTCCCATCTTTTCTTTCTTTGATATTAACGTCTAGACCTTTATCTAACAGAAATTTAAACAAATCAATGTTTCCACTCCAGGCTGCTTCATGTAAAGCATTCACACCATTATGGTCATCAACATGTAGCAGATGAGGATAAGCCTTGACCAAGAATTTACACATGTCTATCTTACTGTTCCTACAACACAGATGTAATACAGTCTTCCCATCATTTCTAGTGCTATTGATATCAAAACCATGTCGCACGAGAAAATTGAGGAAGTCAATATTACCGCACCATGCTGCAACATGTATAGTATTTTCACCGCAATTGTCTCTGGTATCTATTGAATAAGGATACATGTCCAACAAGTGTTTAGAAATGTCTGTTTTATCATTTATACAACTCAGAAGTGGCACAATTTTCTCTTTTTCACTTATATCATTTATATCCAAACCTTTCTCTAAGAGGACCTTAAGCATTTCCATGTTTCCAACCCAGACGGCAGAATGCACGAGATTATTTCCCTCGTTGTCTTTGATATCTATCAGACCAGGATACGTACTTTCTAAGTACTTGTATAATTCCATTTTACCAATTTGCCTTCTTGAATCTTTGCTATACCCAATGATTGTATTCATCTTCCGTCGAAATACTATAATTGAGACACACAATGAAATCCCAATCAAAATGAAAGGAATCACAACAGGAAGCAGAGTTGGTATAAAAAATGCTGAAGTCGGTGATATGAAGATTGACACATCTGTATTACTGTAAAGAAATAACATGAATAGAAATGAGAACACGGTAAAGGGAGAGAGAGAGAGAGAGAGAGAGAGAGAGAGAGAGAGAGAGAGAGAGAGAGAGAGAGAGACAGAGAGAGAGAGAGAGAGAGAGAGAGAGAGAGAGAGACAGAGAGAGATATTACTTTGATGTTCTATTCCAGAATGATACATCTGCTTCGTAACATTGACTTTGCTTTTCAATAGCGAAACACTCTTGATCTAGCAAAAGAAAATTACTAGTTTAAAATGAACATATTCTATATTGTTATTGCTATTTATCTCACCTCAATCAAACATATCTCATTCAGAAGTCAAAGTTTCAATCAGTAAATCCTTAAATTTTGCATATTTTTATATATTCATTGTTAAGTCTGTGCATCTTACTGCATTAAGATATTAAGCCAGAATTATTGATGTAAATACAGGTCCCTTCATGACATAGAAAAATTCCCATATTATTCCAATTGCAAGCCAAGTGAATATAGCAGTTAAGTTAGACAAGTATTACAATTTAATTGTTATCTCTATATATGTTTTTTTTATGAAATGTATTCATTAATTCGTTCTATGCATCATGCAAGGTATGAGAAAAAATTACCATAAAAAATTCTAATAAGAAATGAATTGCACTTATAAGATATAAAATGGTTGAAGTGTTTTTTGTCTACCTATGTAATATTAAAACATACCACTTTGATGAAGTTCGATCTGTCTTCTGTCGTAGAGCTCTATCAACACCGATGTCTGCTGGTTAGGGATGCAGACACATATTTCCCTGCTGTTGAAGTCAACAGGACAGCTTTGTGACGCGGATGACGTGTTCCATAGCGTGCTGTTTTTTGGACATTGATCAACAGTGGAGACAGGTAACTGATATTGTAAAGGTCGCATATTTACAGGAATTTTTCTAGAAAAATACTCAAAAATTCGTGGTCCCTGGCATCTCATTAAATCTAAATAAAAAGATAACAGACTTTAACTCATTACGTCTACAAAACGTATACAGTTTACAAAATGACAGTTTAAATTCCATCAGGGAGTCATCAAGATGTGTCTATCATGTCTATAATCATTAATTAATTAAATTTTTCTTTCTTTAAAAATCCCTGTCTTAAAATTATAACTGTGATCATTTGTATCAAAAATGAAAAAGGGAAAATACTGAACAGTGGTGGATGAAACAAATTCTGAATCTTTGAAGAGGTATAAAACTCAAACCCACCGGAAATGCCAGAGGTTGGATCAAAAAGAAGTAAGCATCTAATTTCTTCCGGTTTCATCCGCCCTATGTATTGACGAGTAAAACAGAATATTCAGTAGTTAAATTTAGTATAAAAAGGCGTAAGAATTGGCATTAAACCCTTTATTCAAATCACGACCTAATGAAATTTGCTAACAAGGTTATTATAACGAAAATAGAATAGAAATGCTAACTTTAAACGAGGTTGTTGACATCGATCCATGTTACATTTTTTTAAAAAAATGATTGTACTCAAAACATGACCTTGAATATCGTTTAATTTAGGAGACATATACCCCCATATGCAGATGATAGCCGAATATCACTAGATGCATAAGGAAAGTTGAACGATGACAAATCTTAAGTAATCTTGATTATTAAACAGTTTATATGTTAGTTGGCCCCTCACGCCCAGAGACAGAAAATCATCCAAATATGATACAGATATTACAGATAATGTAGACTGAGTATCTTTAATTTCGAATTCATTGGGATATATGGTGAAGGCCTATGGTTAGAAATAACTTTTGTTAATTGAAAACATCTAAATGTTAAAGCAAAAGCCAAGTCAAGAGTATAATTTTTGTAATGTACATAAAAAAAAAAATAATCTGCTATATAGATATAATAAAAAAAGTCGGTAAATGAAGGGGCACAATTAGTGGCCAGGAGAATTCGCACTCTTTGTTGAAAGACTTGGTCACGGAAGACTACATATATATTCATTGAGGGAGTCAATCGTCTTTTTTTTATATAAACAATAGAGTAAGTTGTAAGTAGAAGAAGTAGAAGAAGAATGACGCCCAATAAATTAACACCAAACACAAAACACGAAAGTCCGTCTTCTCAATCTTCATCGAGAAGGCAGCCTCTTATCCATGATGAGGAATTGTTTTTAAAAAACTTAAAACAGTCATATATTGTTTAATTCCATAAGAGATGTTATTTTCTAGAGAACAATTCAACACACCGGTAGCATTTCCTTTAAAAGAAAATCCCATGTAAGGATAGGAAAAAAAAAGAAAATTAAAGGATTTGAATTCTAGTGAAAACTCAATTTCATTTGAGAAAAAAGGTTTGATTTAATATAGTAAACTTTCTTGATACCATAGATTACAACTATGATTTACATTAGCATTTTCGTAAGAGTTTGATTAAGGTTTCACTCCAGGGAGGATTCTAGTTTGCTGCATGATGAGAATATGTCATGTATTTGAAAAGTTCTTATCTCTAGTTTTAGTCAGCGATTTTTGTCAATAGTTTAAAGTGAACCCTTACCTCAATGACTTAACCCTTTCTCTTCCGGCGCATTTTACGTGATTTTGGAGGTCTTTTGACATGACATTATTAAATTATTTCTAACTTTTTTATCCAAGGGGAAAGCTAGGCATAATGCATACCATTTTGTAGGAAATTTCTTTCAGATGATTTTTTATGACGGTTTAGATACTCAACCACTGACCTTATTAGTAAAAATTGAGGTCAAAGGTCAATTAAGTGCAAAATTTTATGGAATTTTTTGATACTTTTTTATCTTTAAGCTAAATATTAAGTATGATGTATGTTGAAATAGGAAATTTGTGATATACCCACAAAAGAGCATTATACTGTACAACATGAAGCACATAAACTTTTTTTTTTCAATTCTGCATATAACTACTTAAAAGGGGTTGCTAAGCAACGCAGAATTCTTTAATTTTGCAGAAATTTTCATTTTTTACTTCATCCTAGACACATTTATGCATCCCAGCAGATATAAAAGTTAAATGTGAGGTCATAAAATTATAAGGGACATACAACAGATAAATTGTCATAAAGTTTGACCTCATTAGAACTATTTTTAGGAGGTCAAAGGTCAAATTAGTGCAAAAGTTTCATCAATTTTTTTTCAATATTCTTGCCATAATTTTACACAATGGATGCTGACATGGAAAATTCTGAATATACTCTCAAGAAGGGATCAGAACTGCAATATCCATGCATCATTTTAGTTCAAATATCTGTTTAATGACCTTTAAGTGGTTGCTAAGCAACATCATTTTAAAGTTTTTGGCTATATACATGTTTGTTATTTCACATTCTGGACAAATTCTAGACACTTTTTGTATATTTCATGATATTGCTTGTAAGATATGGGCCATAAAGATGAAAGAACATTTTTGTATTAAAAATTGACCTTGACACTCTTGTCTTCAGGGGTCAAGGTCATATCAGTACAGAATTATGCTTTAAATTGTAAGTAAATATCAATTTTGAAATGCTTCAAACATTGATAAATCATCTAATAGTTGACATAATAAAAATGGCGAATGACAAAGTTTGCAAGCAAAGAATTCTGGTTTCTCTCTTACAAAGCCCTAGCAAAACATGTATACTATCTTTTTGTTAAACAAGAAATCTATTCTCTTGATGACATAAAAAATAATCTTTATTTTTCATGGATTTAATTTAACAAGAAAAAAAAACTAAATGATTTCATTGCAAGTTTTTCTGGTATAACAGAGCTTAAGGGGTACAATAAAGACTTGACATGTTATCTTGGAGGGAAATAATAATAGATAGCATTGGTAATACTTAATGCAAAACTGTTTAGTCAATAAGTTGAAAATTTGACGCTTATATCCAAATAAACAAAAACAGAAATATTGCAAGATGAATTCCAAATCAGACTGAAATCTTCAACAAAATGTTGAAGAGCAACTTTACTTTGTGTCCACCATTCTTTTATCAACTGTCATTTCTCTGTAAGACCGGAGGAAATTCTTTGACTTGTCCAAGACATTATTATTTGCTGTCAAGTACAAGTGATCAGCTTCTATCCTGTAAAAGATTTAAGTATTTTGAAACAGATACATGTCATTGTATATATAAATTTATATTTATAAATAAAATTAAGAATGCTAAAATTACTACGTTTATTTGATTTTCCTTTTAAAATTAAAATTGTATTCATTATGTGATCCAAGTAGTTAAATGATATTGTTAAGTCAATGTATCAGGACTGATAATTTAACAACTTGTAGTAAACCATCATGGTAAAATAAATGAACTAAAACAAATAGCATATATGGCAATCTGACTAAGACCTGACCTCTGTTTATGCTATCGCAACATGTAAAAAAAATCTGGCATTAGATTGCTACGAAGGCCGGAAGAGGAAACGTAAATTTTTCAAAAAAGTAATTAAAGATGATATCAAATCGAATTACACAATCTAATCCCAAGGATTACTAAATTGTTCCCTCAATTTATAATATGAGATCTCGAATTACACAATCCGATCTTAAGGATTACTAATTCGCCCTCTTGATTCATAATTTGAGATCTCGAATTACATACTGGTAATTTGTTTTCACAGATTGATAATTCAACATCTTGATTTGTTACAACGTCAGTCTTATGATTTTGGAAATCTGTGCTCTTGAATTTCATTACATATATTTACAGAAACATCCAACCATTTTAATCAATAAGTGCGTTCTATCTATTTTGTTTCAGCAACCGGTCGTTTCCAACCTCTTTCATAACTAATTCAACGTATATTTATTTTAGAAATATTATGATTACACAGGACCCATATTCACTTTTACTACATGTATCTAGGACTTTCAATTATTCTACAAGTAACACAAAAACTTCTCAGATTTGTTGTTGTACAAATATCAGTACTAGCACATGGATTTGGAAATTTTCATGTATTTTTCTCATTTTGGACCTTAATATGTAAATAATAAAAGTTAGGATGTAAAATACTACAATATTTTATTTTTTAAACATGTACCGGTATTACCATATCCGATATGTACAGATAAATAATTTAAACGAAATCATGGGAAGGGTTTACATTCCGAGGGAATGAATCATTTAAACTAAAAGAATGAATTATACAATCTGAGATAATGGACTGTGTAATTTGAGGGAACGAATTGGTAATCTGTGAGAATGAATTGGCAATTTGTTATAACATATTGTCAATCCGAGAGAATGGATTGTATAAATCAAGAACTTGGTTTACTTTTATAAATTTTAAAAATTTTATGTCCCTTCATGGCTTTCATAGATTTCATACCTGCATGGCTGCCAGGGTTGTAAAAAGAAAGGAGACAATAGACTGCAATGTTACTTCAGGGCAAAATTCCTGGCGCAAGGCTGTTCGTGATCATGGGAGTGTTGATAAACCATCCAGGGAGTTTGACCACCCATGTATATGATGTAGGATAATTGGAAAGTGTCTGAAAAATTTAGAAAATGGAAATTCTAACCACATACTTTATGCAGATTGGAAATACAACAGCAGTCTATAAAAACAGTTTGTTCCATATCTCAGCATTCATTCAGATAGATATTACATGTTTAAATCATGTTATATAATACGTCTGTATGAATAATCAAGCATCATAAGTATTATGTGTTTCAAACACTTATTTTTCAAAATATAAATCAAATGTTTATAAACTTGTATGAATGCGATATCATGAGAATGACACAAATGAAATTAGATTTTATTTTTTTAAATTTTTAGAAATACAGAAATTTTCAATACCAAAATAAAAATT